TTAGTACCAATAGTTATAGGCGCCTTGGGTGCAATCTCAAAACATCTGGAGCACCACTTGAAGACCATCAGCATAGACAAAATCACCATCAGTCAATTGCAAAAGGCAGCTTTACTTGGAACAGCTGACATCCTGCAACTATATCTTTTTAACACCCTCAAACAACAACATCTGCCTATCCCAGGTCCTTGGGAAGGACTTTAGGTGGATAAAAACGCCAAATCCAGTCTAAACCTCTGGCTGACTGACCAACAATAATAATAATGCCTGTGTTCACTCCTTCTGGTATCATAGTGGAGGGGGCTCAAGCGGATATTTTGCTCCTGAGTTGCTTCAGAAAAAGGCCCTGAATTCTGAATAAAGTTGTTATGGTGTTGTTACAGTGAAGAGAATATGGCTTGAAATAATAGCAGTGCATTTCTGCATTGTTACCTGTACCAGCCCAGTTTAAAATCCTTCATGTGTTTTATTTATGAACCCTGATTAATGCTCCTGGCTCTCAATTTTACATGACCTGGGCTGTATTTACATTATGCACAGCATGTACTAGGCAACCACATGGTAACTGGGTGTGTTGTGCAGGACCACAAAGTGAATTGGGTCAGTTGGTTCCTTGACTCTGAATAGATTAACTGGATGGTGCATGATGTGCTTTGTGTTCTTGGCGAATTTAGCATAGGTGGTACTCTCCAATGTCTCGTCTTTCCATACTTGGAACTTGCTGGGGGCAACCGAAGTCTAACAAATGCCATAGGTGCTCGGCTAGGTAAGACGATTATGAATTAACCAGGAAGTGAAAGCTTATTCCCATGGCATCAGAATGGAGGGAAAACTGGTCCAATGTGTAGAGAAGACACCAGGCTAGTAGGGGAGGAAGGAGCAAGGCTTTGCTTTGGCCAAAGAGAAAAAGAGACAATGTGAGGGATGTTATTTATTTTACAAATGTGTGCAACGATGGCATTTGCCTCCTTCTCCAACCCAGCCTATAGAGCTCTGGGCCTGTGGTGATATACTTCTGGTGGCATGTGTGGGTAGGTTATATGGTTCTTCTCTCTTCTGTTCTTCAGAGAGGATTAAGGAAGGTCTGCCACTGTTTTCTTTGGAGCAGGGCCAGTTGGGACCTCATCCTTCTCTTTCATTTTTTCGTACATCAGGATTCTGCAGCAAGAAGCAGAAGAAAATATGAATCCACAGAGGGCCCTTTTTTGTTTTCTGCTGGTTAGCTCCTCTTCCTCTTTGAAGCCTGGTGGTTACAACTCTCTTTATTTCAACGTCTAATTTTACCTTGGGGGAGGAGGATTAATATTAGGGTTAAATAATTGGATTTGGGGAATCCTTGCTAATCTTTTCGCCTTGGAGATCTGTCCACAGATTCCTAACAACTGCAGAGACCTGCTTTTAAACCTGTTCTACCTCTGGCCAGTTCATACACTAGTATGGTAGGCGACATGCCAACTTTTAAAAAATATT